ATGAAATAGGCTCTGTCCCTTACTTCTTGAAGTTCTCTTTCTCCTTCAGGGCACTGCAGGAGAGCTATCTAACAAGCTCAGGTAACTCACACAGCAGCACCCCTAGTGAACCTTCCAGTTTTGAAAAAGACTTGCAGCTTGCCATGGAGTTGTCTGTCCGAGAGCAGGAGGAACGGGAGAAGCAACGTCGTGAAGAGGAAGATGCAGAGCTTCAGCAAGTTTTACAGCTTTCTCTTGTGGAAAAATAACTCCGTAGCGATCTCCTGAAATAAGGGTGACCCAAATCTGCATAAAACTGAAGCCTTTCAGAGCTGTCAGTCTGAAGACCACTCCTGGATTGCTTAAGTAAACATTTCACCTGCCGCCTTAGTTGGCATCATCAGCTACAAAGAGCTGATTTATTTTTGTTTGAGGGAGTTTCAGATCACGGGACTCTGCATTTGGCTCCCCAACCATGCAGTCTTAGCTTTGAAGGAAAAGTTTTTATCTCAACGTATTTATTGAAGAGCAGATGGAAACTTTGCTTAGCATCAGGATATAGGATTGCAGTAAAGCTTGAAAACCTGATTTATGGGGACTTCAGGAGGGAAACTTCATTACTTACCAAAGAAATATTCATCTGCTTAGTCATTTCTGAATAATTCAAAGCCATTGTCTGTTTCTTCCGGTTGTTACATGGAAGAGTATCTATATGCGCATATACACACATACAGTAGTTCTTCATGCTGACAGTGTACCATGCTGACAGATGTTTTCTGTTAGTTTTGTTTATATGTGATTGTCTCTTCTCTAGTTACTGAGATTTTATCATGTGCTCCTGCTTAAGAGGGATAATTTTATACTTGAACAGCTAATCCAAGCTCAAGATTAAACTAGTGCTTTCTGAAAAAGGACAAAACAAGTAGCCAGTAAAATTTTAGATCCTAAAATGGGACCATCTGTCTAGTAAAGTAGCAGTTTCTGCAGTGATTCAAAACCAGCTAGTTCCCATAGTCAGAGGGCAGCAAGAAAATAAGCGATAGATACAGGTGCTTCTTGCGATCACTTGGGGTGTGTGCATGAGTGCGTGCCTGTGTGTGGGTGCTAAATTCAAATAGAAAAAAATTCAGGTGAAATTTTAATGTATACTTATTGGAAGATAAGTTTTAATTCTGTCATCTGAAAGGGAAACGTGTGTTGCTTTTTAAAATTCAAATGCTCATCCTTCATGTGAATACATATATATTTTTTTATCTGAATATTTTTATTGATTTTAAAACAAGCCAATATGACTACACTCATAAAAATGGTATTGTAACAATTTGCAAGTATGTTTTAACCAGCTTTCCTCAGGTCTTTCGTCATACAATATATTTGTAGCTATTTTATCTGCACTTCTGTCAGTGTTTACAGTACTTACGCTGTGACTCTCAAGTGCACTCCACAAGTACACAATGTACATCCACAGGAAAGCCTTATGGTAGTTAAATGTGAGCAATATTCCTCTGTTCTGGCTGGCAGAAGTGTGAAGAACCTACGGTACATATGGTCTGATCTTGCTACCTAATCCTGCACTTGTTCCTTGGGCAAAACAGGGCAGTTCTGTGTGACCAACTATTAACCAGTATAAAATCACTATAAAATGGACTTGATCATAACCGGTGGGATGGTGGGTTACTCGGAACCCTATTTTAAACCAATAATCCATTGTTTTACATAGCAAAAGATTAAAATTCCTTCAGCGTACACTAGAACTGGTATATCTGCACCATTTTTGTTTAATGATACAGCTTGCATCCCTAAATAGCTTATTTGGTGTTTGCAGGAATGTTGACTTTCTTGCACAGTGGCAGTGGTCTATGTTGGAATTGCATCTTTCTTTGAAAAGGGGATTACTGTGACTTTCACAGTTGAAAAAAAGGGAATAAGCCTTGCATTGAGCTCTTGACAAAGTTGTGAGGTAGGAGGTGAGACTGTGGGTTTTTCCTCCAGTGGAAATAAAGAGTGCTGTTGCCTTTATAAAACTATCTGTCTGACATTGCTTTTCTTCTATTAAGCATTTCAAAGGTTACAAGGGAGGGGGGAAATACCTTTTTGCAAGCTGACTTATTCTCTGTTTTTTATGTTGTAAACTAAAGAATATTGAGCAGTTTCAGTTCAAGTTTTGTTATGCTCCTGCTTCTTAGTCTGGGACTTTAAAAAAATTTGGGTGATGGGTTTTTGTTGTGGGGTTTTTTTTTTTTCTTTCTGTGACATTTGCATCATTCCATCTAAACTAGAAGGCCCTGCTTCCCTGAAACAGGTGCTGCTCTCCTTAAACCCTAGCTTACTTTCTACCCAGAGTGTAAGATGCATCCTCTGATCCTCTGTGTGTGCTGGAAGAAAAAACAAAGATACTGCACAGTGTTACACTGCGCACACGAGTATTTTTTTTTTTCTAACATGGTAACTGGAGTCTTTTTAATAATGATCCTTATCTGCATTTTTGTACATCAAAGGTGACATTATCATCTATGAAACTATCAAAGATAGTTCTGGTTTAGTCTGAAACAGACACATGATCCCTGGAACCATTTTTCTGACATTTTCAGCCAACCTTTGAGTCTCCCCGTGTTGACAACAGAGGCCGGTACAGCACAGACAGTACTAAGGCAATGAAAGGCAGGGTGGTGGTAGGACTTCAGCGCTGTCGGCTGGTTTCTGTATGTACCTTTTTGTGAGTAACAGAGAGAGGAGACCGGCAGAGGGTTGCACTTAATAGTAGTGCTGAGACTGCTGTATGAAAGCCGAGTCCAACTTCTCTTTCCAAGGAAGCTCGAGGCTTATGTAGGAAAGCAGAAGCTCAGTTACAAATACCTGTAGTTTCTTCTGAAACTGTAACTAGCTTTTAAATAGCGCAATTTAAAGTTCTTCAAACTGACACCATTTCCACAGTGTTGGTGCTGTGCAGCTGTATCTGTTCCTGAAAGTGAGACGAAGTAGGTACTTTTTTGTGCTTTTAGACTGTTGTTTCAAGCAGGCAGGCTACATACAGCAAGAATTCATGATGTGCTTAATTTGGAAATCCTTCTTATACTCCTTTGGCTGACTTTTGATTCAAAATAGTTAGTCTTCATAACTGAGTTAACTGAACTTTACCTGTTAACGTCTGCTGGTAACTGCACTACACTTGCACAATAAGGTTTCATTTTCAGTTTACTCTTAACAGTTCCTTGCTAACAAGCACCCATGAAAACGGGGGCTTCACCCAGCTCTTACTATCACACTGCTGTCCTGCCCCCCCTTCCCTCACCATTGAAAATGGGGTAAGAACTGTAAGATTATCAGAGGTGGGAAAGGGGACTGCCTCATCCCTTCGTACAGCTACAGCTGAGTTAATAACAAACAGAACATCCATGAATAAATAAAAAGAGTCCTGGATTGTTTACTTAGCTTTTTATTTGTACAAAGAGACATAGCAGGGAGTGAAGAATGAATGCAAATAAGAATGCTGCTCCTGGGAACTCGGAGCTGTAGCTGCAAGCTACACCATCCATCCCCCCACAAACAGCACACAGGTACAGGCCAAGTTTTACACCAGACGAAGGACCAAGAAAAGTCAGTGATACAGGGCTCGGTCATCAAAAAAAAGAAAAGGATCAGAAAGCAATAGAACAGTGTTACCTTGCTTGCTCACTCATGTTTCACTTAGATTAGTAACTAGATCCGTTCTAGGCCAGTCTCCCACTGTCACTTTACTAATAGAGCAGCAGCAAAGAAAATCCCCCGTTGCAATCAGTGGTCGGTGTCCTTTAAGACAAACTGAACAGAAAATATGTCAGGTGCAGCACAAGGTTTTAGAGAACAGGTCACCACAATTGTTCTGGAAGTTAAGTTTTAAAACGCTAAATAAATTACTAGCCAAAACACCCCTATGTTAAATAACAAAGTAATACTTAATAAGCAAAATCCAGTTATTACTCATAGCAGTGCAAAACAAAATAGCAGCATTCATATGCAAGTGTGATTTCAGTGTAAACCCTTGAATTTATTACTGAAAATGCATAGAGCAGGTCTGTCCGGAGCTTAAACACAACATACTTCTAGAGAGCCTGAGCCCAGCAGTCTCAAGCATCTGCCTGGCTTGCAAACTTTTGGAGGCTCCTATTTCCAGTAGGACAGTAACCTGCTCAGGAGCACAAATCCACCTGCAAGGAGAGGAGTGTTCAGCACAGGCTGGAAACCCTCGCCGGCACCCCAGTTCGTAACAGGTTCAGCATGGCTGTTTTGGTGCAAGGCTGCTTGGGGCTGTTTAGGTAAGAGTTAAAGCAAATAACGTCAGGAATGACAAGCCGGTCCCTAAACAGCTACACCAGGGTCTGCTCATGCTTCAGTATTTCTGCTCAGAGGTAAGCACGTACCAGACCCCCACAGCCACAGCTGCGGTCGGTTGCTGAGCTTTTGCCCTTGGACTATTTTTGAAGGCTGCACTACAAACACTCAAGACTCAGCATTCAAGCAAGGAACTGAATTAATTAGAAAGCAAAACTAGACGTGGTGTAACTGAGTGCTTGGGCCTGCTCGACAGACAGCGATGTTAATGGTCTGGCCGTGTTCTCGTGCTGACGCAGCGCGGTTCCCCGGGCACTGATCAGAACGGGCGTCACGGCCGGTTGCGTTCCCAGCAGCCTCCCGAGGCCCCGGGTGCACACACGCACCAGGGATGCTCTCGAGCACATCGTGTCAGATCAGCCTCGCTGAAACGCTGCGTTTTGGGAAGAAGGTGCGTTGCTACAGGCCCTGCTCCAACCCAGCCGGGTTTGCTGCGGAAGCGCTCCCGGGAGGTCCAGGAGCCAGTTTGCTGAGGACTGGGGCGTGACTTCCAGCACCCAGCCATACTGTCATTGAAAGTGACATCACGATGGAGCCACACGATGCTGCGTGGGCAAAGAGCCGTCCACACGACGTCAGGGCATCCCCCGTCGCTGGCAGGAGAGGTGGCGGGACAGCTGGGTGCCAGGCGGGAGAACCAGGCCGCTCCGCTACCGCCGTCGGACGGGCTTGTAGACGCAGACGGCCATGAGGATGATGGTGAGCAGCAGGGCGCTGAGGATGCTGCCCAGCAGCACTGCGGGAGGAGGGAGCGCGACAGGTTAGGATTTGACTGCCCTCCCCGAGACGTTTCCCCAAATTAGCTTTAAAAAAAAAAAAGAAAAAAAGAAAACCAAGCAAGTCCAGAACCAGACAACTTCATATTGTTCAGCACCATCAGTGAAAACTGTAAGGCTCCTTCAGAACAGAACATACAAGCTTACAGAGTTGAAAATCTCTTCCCATGGTCAATACACACAAATACGGCCTCCTGCTAAGGTCCTTGGTCATCTGCCATACATCCAAGAACAGCAGCAGCTGAAGAGTCATACCGCGTAACAGGCAGGACCTCATCCTTTCGCTGGTCAGATTCACCCCCTACCTTAACGAAGGCTGATAAAAGTCTGGGGGTTTGGAATGGGCTTTTAAAGACTGGTAGCGACTGGGAGAACCCTGCACAACTTCCGTGATACCTCATTTATGGCATGCAGAAAGGTGAAAAGGCCTTTGGCCACAGGTAAACTACAAGGAAAGTTACGCTTCTGCTGCCTTTTATGTCTCCCCATTTAAAATACATAATTGTTTTAAATGGCCTCTTGGTTGCACGTTGGGTTCAAACTTTGGTCATTATGCTCAGGTAATGAATAAAATTCCTCAACCATGTTGTTCTTAGCATGTGTTTTTGCGTAATTATTTCTTTTGTAAAGACTACACTACCACAGAGAGCCCTTCTGGCCACAACACAAACACTGCTTGCCTCTTTTTTCCAAAGAGGTGTTTGTCTTTGACAGTTTTCAATGCAGGATCACCTCAATTAAGAAGTATGCTTTAAAAGGAAGGTCACTTGAATTTACTGAAAGCACCCCATCATTTAATGACACTAAGTTAAGGGAACAGCACAATTCACTATACTAAATCACTTTGCAGCCTTTTGACTAAGTTTAGCATAGAACTGGATTTACGGATGGGATGTCGGCGGGGAGCTGCTGCTTCGCCTCCGCCGTGGTGAGCGTGGGCGCTGGAAAGTGTTTAATGGGCCCAATAACTGCTGAGAAATGGTGAGACTGCATTGGAAGTGATGTGGCGTTACTGGGAAGCCGCGACAGACGGCAGGTGGCTGGTTCACACCAGCGCCAGGGCTGCTTCACCCTGACCCCAATATTTGTTTTTAAACCGAGATATATTAAGGTCTTTTCTTCTTCACGTGCTGGAGGCTGCCACTTCTCTCGCAGCCAATCCTCCTGGCTCAGCAGAGCTGCCGCATGGCGGGGGCAGAGCCGGGACGGGGCAGCCGGAGGGACTGACCTGCCTTCCTGGCCTGAGGGGCTCTGGCTGCAGCAGCATGTTCCCGGGAGCGACCCGAGGGGCCACTCAGTTTCTCTACCAGACTTTTGCTCTTTGCAACAGAGCAAGGTATTTGTGTGTCAGGACAGCGGCAGCCCCCCCACATCCCCCAGCCCAGCCCCGTGCTTTCAGCCGCACCACGGCGCTTTGTGAACACAGCATGGCAAGCTCTGGCTCCTCTCCCTCCTCTGATCTCCTAACAATTGATATCAGCTTTATTTTCCACGCCACTCACGGCACAGCTGAAGGCATGCACTGCTCACACCAAGCAGGTTTGCGCAGCAAGGTCGCGAGCGTCTCTACGCAAGATGTGTTCACGGCTTGTACCGTCGGACAGCAATCCCTCTGCTGCGGCACTCGCAGCTGCGCCTCCGTCTTCACAGGGAGTCGGGCTTCACCTCCAAACCGGAGGAGTTTGGCCCTTGGCTTCCTGCGGCGGGTCCCGTTCTCCCTGCTGTGGATCAGAGGTTTTCCTGCCTGCAGCGAGAACGGCCTCCGGTCTGCCAGCACGTGCTGGCGGCACCGCTTCCGCCGAGATGCTCGGGGGC